TACTGGTCTAATGACAAATAGCATAATTTAATGAACTATTAATTTTTTAGGATAACCTAGTTTTTCCAAATAGCCCTCTAGTGGGAACAAAAACTTTTTAAAACCCGTACTTTTTTGAAATATTTTGACACCTATTTATTATTAATTGTCAAGCATACAATGTACGGGCCTGTCGAGGGTTTTTTCTACATTTCCCGTATATCAAAAACATATCAACTTTTTCTCCATTTGTAAATTGATTATTGTTTTCCATGTTAATCCAAAGCGATAACACGACAAAATCGATAATCAGATTAAAATATACAATCTGTTAGAATTTTCAAATATGCCGACTTGATGATAAATAGAAACAAAGCCATCTAAGTAATATTTTGTTTTTATAAACATGTATTTACTTATCTGGTTTTTTCCTTCCTGTGAGCTTAATTTTTAACGAATTTTGAAAATTTTGCTGCCAAAATGTAGCAAACAAAGTACCGGTTTTAAAAAGTTTTTGTTCCCACTAGGTTATCCTAAAAAATTAATAGTTCATTACATTAAATGCTGTTTGCCATTAGACAACTAAAGAAAAATTTCATTTACAACAAATTAGAAAGTTACTCTTTTCTGCTTCAAACCCGCGGTTCATGGACTACATATTGTCACAAAACTCGACATTCAGCTTATATTAACCCTTCAAAATTTCAAATCACTATCTCAAGCCATTTAAAAGTTATTAAGTGTTCCCCCTTTATTGTGTCACCCGGTATAAACTTTAAATGTTTTCTTTTTATTTGGAAACCTCTGTAGATAGGTATTTAGTACAACAATATTTGCCAAATTGTAGCGATAAATATGTTGCTTAATGCTAAACAGGCAAATTTACATTTTCAGATATCGACAAAGAATTAAGACAATCCCTAGATAGCAACAATCGTAGCAGCACCAAATTTGGTTATTAATCGTCCCTAAAATAGTCTTTTAAACTTTTAAAGACATTCTGATTTTAGAAGAATTGCAATTACTTAATTCATATAATATCTTGTTGAAATTAATTAATGCTATTTTTTTCCATTTGTAGAAATCAATAGTAGTAACAAATAATAATAACAATAACAGTTTAATTACCTAACAGAGACAATACCCATTTACAAGACATTTTGAAAAATTTACTTACCAGGTTAACATGAAGAAATAAAAATTACGAAAATATGCTAATAAACAACACAGTAAAAACAAACAAAAACAACCATAATGATTGAATAGAATATTTATATATTTTAATTTATCAACGCCGTTGGTTTCGATTATAGGAAACGAACTCTACTAGTATATTTTTAATCGTTATTTATTTATTCGTTTAGGATAAATTAAAATTAAATTAAACATAATAAACTAATTAATAAATGTACTATTTTCAAAAGTCGGTATCTTTTTACAGAAACATCAAGATATATTTAAACCTAAACCTAATGTGAAATTTTAATTTCATTTTTATCAAAATAAACGTAAATAAGTTTGATTCGATAACTTAAATAGCTACACAAAAAGAAAATAATTTGTATAATAGAGAGTTGAAAACCCAAAAAATTGAAAGGGGAGTTACACAAAAATTCAACAAAATCATTGTTTAATATTTTGATACCAAATATTATTATATTTTATATTATTAATATTTTTTGGTATTGTTCCTTAGATTTCGATGACGAGCAATTAATTCAGATTAACCTAGATACGAGAGTAATTCCACTGGTCGTTTTTCGTTTCATCTAAGGGACATTTAGTGAATTTAAAGATTAATTGTGCAAGAAAAAGTCCATTTAAAATTAAATTAAATTAAACGTAATCAATTAATAAATAAATGCACTATTTACAAAAGGGCATTTCTACAGAAACATCAAAATATATTTGAATCGCCCCTAGGTGAAATAATAATAATAAATATAATAACGTTTATTATCTATCGTACAAACACAAAATTCAAAATAAATGATTGAGCATGATTCAAGTTCCGAAGTAAGGATAAATTAACACCTATTTTATTACATTCTTAATATGTTCCGCAGAAGCAATTAACTTAACTAACAAAACCAATTGAACAAAATAAAAATAGAGAAGTTTGCTTCAATTACTAGAATAGCTACACAAAAAGAAAATGATTTGTATAATAGAGAAAACCCAACAAAGTTAATTGCTACAAGAAAGGGGAGAAGAGAAAAATATTGATTTTATTATAGAGAGATTCCTTTAGATTCTTTTTAAATGTAAGGAGTACTCAGTTAAATAAAATTATAGTTCAATAATATATATTTACAAATGTTAAAATAATTATTATTATTAATTATTATTATTAATGCACTTTTCCGTAGATTTAGATGATGAACACTTAGTTCAGATTAACATAGATGCGTAAATCATTCCACTGACCGTATTTCAATTCAGCTGAGGGACATTTAATGAATTAAAATATTAATTTTACATGGAGAAGTCCATTTAAAATTAAAAATAATAAATTAATTAACAAATGCACTTTTTGAAAAAGTTGGTACATTTCTACGTCATCATCAAATCAATCAATCAATCATACATCAAAATATATTTGAACCAGCACAAGGTGCAAGCCGTATTTTTAAGCCAACTTGGAATTTTCATTATCTTTAAATAACAATAATCATAATAACGTTTATTATGTATCATACAATCACAAAATTTAAAATAAATAATTGAGCATGGCTCAGTTCGTTGTAGTTCATCATTTATTTTGTCAGTATAAAAAGGATTTCCTCCCGATTAAAAACACTATAACATTTCACCCTCCAAAGAAGCAAGAAAATCTGATCAAACTCTCAAAAATGCGTCTTCTATTGACAGTAACAAAAAATATTTGAAGTAGAGGCATTTTTAAATGACCCGTAATAAAATTACAAAACAACAATAAAAATATACATAGCACATAATACATAGTACGGAAATTAAAACAAAAATATATTTAACTTAACTAAAAAAAAAAAATAACTACTTGATAAAGGAAAGGAAAATGATTTGTATAATAGAGACTTGAAGACCCAGCTACATAGAAAGGGAGAAGATAAAAAAAAAGATTTTGTTTTCTTGTTTCACTACTTAAGCGAAATGTAAAAATAAATCATTCATTGGCTTTCCTAGATACTTATAAAATGTAAAAAGTAGGTCAGTTAAATCAAATCACAGTCAAATAACAATGTTGATATATATTATAATATTTATTATTATTAATATTTTTTTGGTATGGTTAACGCTTTTTCCGTAGATTTAAATGATGAACATTAGTTAAATTAGTTAAAATTAAGACAAATTAGACATAATAAATTAATTAAAAAATGCTCTATTTTCAATAGAAATATCTATAGAAATATCAAAATATATTGAAAAGGTTTTTCACATTTAAAATAATAATAGCCATTTATAAAGGAATTTGTTCAAAAGCGTTAGATGAAAAAGCATTTCCTCCCGATTAAAAAACCGATAATATTTCAACCTTCGAAGAAGGGAGAAAATCCGAACAAACTCGTCTTCTATTGGTAGTAACAAAAATATTTGAAGTAGATATATTACAAAACAACTATGAAAAGATATGTACATATAATACACAATCTGTAATTAACTTAACTAACAAAAATAAATTAAATAGCTATACGATGAAAAAAAAAGAAAATAATTTGTATAACAAATTACAAATGTATTTTTTCAGAAGTGTTGGACAGTAGCATATTATGCAACAAGTGCGGTAAACGGCATTTGACACACGAGTTTATTTGCATACTATACTTTTTCTACGACCGTTACTTTTTGGGTACATTTTCGCAAAATAGAATTGACAAATGTCAAAATTCAAAGCGTGGGAAATATCTCCGAAAACATCCGATTGCTCCCAAATCCGTGCGGTAAAATCCCGGAAATGTCCGAAGTGGCTCGGATTCATCGGAAACAAAGCTGACGTGGTCAAGTGACGCTTCCCGCACGCTAGATCACCTTTCGAAGAATGGAGAAAATCCGAACAAAATCTGAAAAATGCATCTATTATTGATTATTGATTAATTTTGAAAAATATAATTAAAAAACTGTAGTAAAAGTTTTTTGTCACCATTAAAATAAGATATTTTACCGGAAAAATAGTAATAATCAGGAGAACTTGTGAAATAAGATACTAAAAAAATTTATTCACATACAAAAGTAATTATGGCAAAACATCCGATATAGAGGGGAATTTGCTAAAGTAGTCCAGGTACAGCAACCACATTTGAGTCTGTAATTTACGCAAACAATCTTATAACAAATCGATTTTAAATGTTTATAATATGTTGCGAAAAATACGTACAAAATTAAATATTATCGAACAGTGTTTAAGTGTTTATCAAACATTAAAAACGGTATACCGAAACAATTAGAGATCAAACGTTTATTAAACGCTTAATAGTCGACGAACACGAATATTTTTAAACAATTAAACCGCGAGGGCAATAATACGCGACGCCGGGACGACGCGACGCGTCCAACTAGCGCTCAAAAGTCGCGAATACTTTTGCACCGGCCCCGGTAAACGCGGCAAAGGCCGCATAGGATTAGAGAGAGACTGACCATTTAAAAAGAGACCAATTCAAGTTTAAACTAGGAAAATTCAGCACTACACGACAAAGACGAAATATTTCGTCCGCTATAAAAGGAACAAAATAGTCCCGAATACAAGAAAGAAAAAGACAACGCAGGTCATCAGACAAGGACTACTTTCCGACGAAGACAGTCAATATTTTAGTTCGCCAAATTAATACGTTAGAAAAGAATAAAAACAGGTTTTAAAGAGAGATCCCGACACCTTCGGAGAGAGAGAGCGATCTAAGCTCGTAGTAATTTAAAAGATAGACGGACGTACGCGAGCGACGAGAGAGAGACGAGGAACACTGATAATAGGGATGCACGGCGCTCGACTAGGCGAGGGAAGGGAAAATGCAAGTGCATGCAAGTGCCGAGTGGCGTCGCACTTGTTGCGTCACAATATGACGTTACTACAGTAGTGATACAGACCACCATTCATACAACACATTACTGCAAAATTTCAAACAATCGAGAAACCGCGCCAACCTTCATTAAACATGTAACGCAAACCTGAACAAAGTAAGCCGGTTTTCGCTTATATTCGTCGCCAATCGGTCGTACGTTTCGCGTCCGCTGACTAATTTCGTTTTGTTTCAGATTAATCGGAAATATGGCGAAAAAACTTAGACCCGTCTTACCCTTGAGATGAAGAAGACATCCTTCGGCCCCATCGTTCGCCGCCGTGTTTCGTCCTGCCGCGTGCGTTTTTAAACTTTTTTTTGTTTTTTCGAGTGCTTTGCGTACAAACAGTTGGGACTTTTAAACGTTCTCAGTGAAACAAAAGGAGTTGTGTTCGAACTTATTACATGGGGAGTGCCGAGGCAATATTTATCCGCTAAAAGTTTGGTGTAATGATTATTTCGGAGCAATGGGTAATAGGAAATTTTTTATTCGAATCAGTGTAACGAACTTGCCGTTGGGAAAAAATGGCGGAGTGTTCTTATGCGAGATGTGTACAACAGCGGAGGAATATTAGAAGAGAGCTCCAACGATGGACAAAAAATATGGTTCATATTGTCGGTGAGTAATTTTTTTTCTTCTTAACTTTCCACCGATCGATAGCGGCACGGCGCGAACTCTCCACGGAAAATGGGACGAATCCAAGTCGCCGATATAACCTGTTGACTGCCGGAATTTTCGCCGAAATGCTTGTGCTTTTCTAAAAATTAGTCGGGCCGTAAATCGTCCCGAAAATATCGCGATCCAGTTAACGTTCCGAAAACGGGTCCCTTTCGGCGCATTTAATGATTTTTAAGATGCACTTTTTGTATGCGTCGCAGTCGCATTTTTCTATAACGGCGCCGAAATATTTTTCTTTTCTTTTCGCCGCGAAAATTCGTTCGTTTCCCGATAATTCCGTCTCGCCCCAACCTAGTTTCGTAGAACCGGTCGATGCCGCAGAAAATCGCAATTTTTCTCGCCGCCCGATTTCGGACGCGGTTTCTCGTAAGTGCATTTTTGATTATTCCGAGTTTTTCGGCCAAAAATATCCGGAACGCCCGGCGTATTCGCCATTAATTCGGAAATTATCGTCGGTCCGCATAAAATTTTTGCGGGGTTGCAACTATAACTCGATTAAGCCGTTATAATCCTAATCGTTGCCTTTTCGTATGGCGCAGGCGTCTAATCCCCGATGCGGCAAAAATATTATTCCATTCATATTAATTAGAGTGTGTAGCCGAAACGACGAAATCGAATGTTTAAGTAGGTACGGGCACGGTTTTGTGACGTGGCGTTTCAGTTCGCACTATAAGGGGTGTTTAAAAAAGACCCGCCAATATTTAAGGGGGTGAAAAAAGTTCCCATAAATGCAGGTCCGGAAGTTTAATAAATAATTCAAATATCTTGTCACGGATTTGTTTGAAATTTGGCAGCGCTGTTACTGGTGATTCGGCACTAGCTAAATAAAAATTAAGCATTGGCGTTAGGGGATTAAACCGTACGCCACTGGCTATAATTTAATTCCGATTGTTCCCTGAGATAGAGCAATTAACACCACTACTTTTTCGCCTCTTGAAATTTTCTCATATCCTGCTACGTTTTCGAGATAAAAAGCAAAAGCCATATTGCATTTAAAAAAAAAAGAAATAACACCCTGTATCTTGGACCTACATTTATGAGAACTTTTTTCTTAAAATGATCTGAAGAATCTCACCCCCTTAAATATGGTCTTTTTTGAATACCCTTTGCACACTTCGCATCGAATTTGATGAATTTCAGTTTCTTGCCAACTGCTAAGTTGATTTGGGTTCATATTTTTGCAGCTTAAATATTCCGAAACGATGTTACAAAAAAAAAAGTTTCTGGCATACAGGGTGTTTAAAGAAAAGCCGTTTTTTTTTCAATGTTTTGTGGCTAAATCAATGCATAGCTCCATCCTTTCTCCGCATTTTGTGATTGTTTTTTGTTGAATTTAATGTCTGACATAAATATTACAGTTTATTACAAAAACAAAATCGAAACAAAATCATAAACATTAAACAAATAAATAACAATATCCCGTATACCAATGTATATTTCATCGAATTTAAACAATAATTTTTAGATTACTCCGAAAATTTTTGTATTATTATCGTTATTATAAAACTATTTAGTTAACCTAATACATAAAAAATACACTTAAAACCTTTAATGTTAAATTAATAAATATAAATTTTATAAATTTCAAAATATTTTCGAAGTTCTTTTTAAAAAAATTATTTCCTAAAGTAATTTTCTTCACAGAAAAGGGCATGTGTAATATATTTAGATTTTTTCGACAATTCTTAATTTTCTGTATATAAAAAAAAACTACTGAAGCCAAATAGAAAAACAGAGTAGAGAAGATATTCAAGAATTCAAGAATTCAACAGATGAACGAATAATACCGAAATAATAACAATGCCCAAAAAAAATCGAATGAAAACATCACTCTCATATAGTTCATCTAATTTTATAAAATCTATGCTTAGGTAGGACTCTTGTAGATACGAACTGTTACTTCTTAAAATTGGTTAAAGTGCACACGTCACACTTCTACAAATAACGTAAATATAGTTATTTAATCACAAATTTTAATTTGCTTATAGTTATAGAGACTTTAACTGATAGAAACTGCTCAAAACTCTAACAAAATTTTATAAATAACTAAGATTTTACAAAAATTTCACGGATTTCACAGAGCTGGTACATCAGATTCTAGGCGTGATATCCTATCTACCTACCATTGATCCCATAAATGTTCTGTTGGGTTAAGGTCTGGACTGCGTGGAGGCCTGCCCAAGGCCTCAATAGGTGTGTTTAGAAAATAATTCCAGATCTGTTCCAAAGTAATTCGGAATATGAAAGAACCAAAACGCTTCGTGTCAGTCATTCTGCATCTGTCTCTTGTTGCGGTAAATATGGAACAAAGTAAGTTAATAACCAAAAGACACTTTCAGAATTGAAACTGTTGTTGTTAATTAAGATCCGAGTGAATTTCCATTTGTCAAATACCCATTAGATGAATTACTTTTAACAGTGAGTGTCGTACAGCCTTGATCGAAGCCTTCCTAAAATTATACAAAAAATATGAACGTAAATTTGGAACATTTGTGCTTCAAAATAATGAATTTTTGAATTTCCTTTATTCATAGTGGAATAATATCCACCAAAATTCCAATTTTGGTTTATTACAACACAATGAAACTAAAATGAAAAAATGAATCTAAAATTGGAGAATTTGGACTAAACCGAATTGGGCACGTGAGGCAATTCTGAAACCGTTAGAACTTTTCTTCAGAATTAATAGACTTGCCCTACAACGATTCGTACCTCAATTCAGAGAGGGAATTTTTAATTCGGGACCAACTATAAATAAACAAAAATATTAAATTACTAATACGCCAATAATCCAGGAAAGGTTATAAGATGAAACAAAAACAAATTTAAAGATTTTTTTATTGTTGCAGTTTATAATAATATTTAAATAATATATGTTTATTCAGTAGACAAAAATAATTGTAAATTAAAAATAATACATCACGATCAAAACGCATCTACAAAAATAAACAGATAAAAATTCTTCCTAACACCCTTGAGTTATCCCGCTAATTTCATAAGCGACACATTGGAGAAAGGGACTAGTGTTAACAAATGTTTCCAGAAATTTCTACCTACTTTATTTAAAATACCAAGTTTAACCTAGATATTACGAAAATTTTAAAACAAAACAAATATAACTTTAAATTTGACATTGAAAACAAACAATTCTTACATTTAAATCTTAAATTTTTTATTATAGACATTCTCTACCCTTTTTTTCCTATTTGCTCAGGGAGGCTTTTTAAAACCACTTAGTGATTAACGTTATGAATTTATTTCTGCCTTAGATCTTTCTATTTATTTTTTAGAAAATTATAAAAATGAACCCGTATTTCTCGTATATTAAGAGTAATTTATATTTTGCAATTCGTTTTTGTTTTTAAAGATATTTTAAACTGTTGTTTAAAAAATAACTAACTTACTTTTTGAAAACATACTCCCTAAACAGCTGTATTTTCCATAATGTGGAATTGTTTAAGATGTATATTTATATTGCTCCCCATCTCCATATTGTAAACGTGACATTTGGTGTTTGAAAATTTTTAGAAAATATTTGAAATTGGAAACCAGTCGTCTTACTATTCGTAAGTGTTTATTCCATTTTAATAGTGTATTCATTGTTATTAAAATTCGGCAAACAGTTTATTTGCACGTTAATGGCATAAAAATGTTTTTTTTTGTTCATCCTTTGAATCAGATTAATGAAGTAATTTTCCAATTTTAAGATCGTCCGAAGAATCATCTTCGTATAATAAAACTTGGGCCGTTCGTGAAACAAAGGTTTACATGGTACAAATTATTTATGTAAAGAATGAATAATATATGGTCTGATATTACAAAACTTCTTAAAGTTCGCATTTCATTCAATAATTGAGATAAAGTAGTGAATAAAAAACAAGATGCTGGTAAAAGATGTTCAGACTTGAGTCACCTAATACCGTTAATAGAATTTCTCACTAACACTGGGTATAAAACCTATCCTTGTATAAAACTAAAATTTCAATAAAAATGTTTCGCACAATATCGCGAGAAAATCAACTTTTGAGTTACTTTTTATAAAACTTCTGGATTCCTTCTGCGTCGGTTTTTGTTGAGTAGAACTAGTTAATGTTTCTCCAATCATCCTGTAGGCTTCTTCAGAGCTTGACTGAAACTGGCTCGCATTTGGCGACCTGAGTCGCGGTTAAGATTGCTTATAGATTTCTATAGACTCTCGGATTTTTCGTCGGTGGAAGAATTGATTACATGCAGGATTTTTAGTTTTCGTGATTGTGTTTGGCAACTGCTGATGAGTTTATTTGTCTTAGTCTTAAAGCTCCTTCATGTTCTTTGAGCCTAGTTGATATTTTTCATCCGGTCCCTCCCATGTATTCTTTGCCACATATGCATGGAATGCTGTAAACTTCTATCATCTGAAATGGTATTTTGTCTTTGACGGATCGAAGATGTCGAGCGATTTTATTTGATAAAACTAAAATTCTTGCATGTAATCAATTCTTTTACCAACTAAAAATCCGAGAGTCTATAGAAATCTATAAGCAACCTAACAATCTTAACCGCGACTCGCGTCTCTACGTGTCACCAATATGGGAATCAGTCATCCGAGATAGTGTTTATGCCCCTCATTTAGCTCCGCCCCCCCTCAAACCATATAAAAGCAGGTACAGAGTAAAATGCGAGCCAGTCTCAGTCAGAAGAAGCCAACAGGATAATTGGCGAAACGTTAGCTAGTTCGACTCAACAAAAACCGACGCAGGAGGAATCCAGAAATTTTATAAAAAGTATTACAGTTGCCTGTGGAAGTTTCTTTGAAAAATTAACTTTTGAGTTGAGTCAAATTTTAGTACTGCGTTACTTTCGATGCGAAATTTTGCCCTTTTGATCACGCGGTTTTACTCGTAACAATACGGCAGCGTTAAATAGTGTTAAATATAAACACCTGATAACGTTGGTAAAAT